ATTGAGGTGTAACAGTTTTTGAGGTGTAAAACCATACTGATTAGCAGAATGAAGGTCTTCATGGCGGAGATACCAGCAAATTCTGTTAATAAAAAGTTTTTCCAAGCACTTACCCAAAACAGGAAGTAAGCTTATACACCTAAGGTTATCTAGGCGAGGAATCCTAGACTCATTTCCTTTAGGAATAAGAATTACTTGAGCATGTTTCCAAACACGTGGGAAAATGCCAACATTTAGGCAAACGTTAAAAAGTTATGGAGAAATGAGGAAACATTAAATGAAACTGTTTAATAATCTCATTCGAAATAGAGTAGGACAAGGTGATTTATTTGGTTCCAGCATAGAAATAACTGTATTATCTTCATCACAAGAAAACATAGGATCTACAAAAGAAGAATAAGCAGTACGCGCAGCTTGACGGTATTCCTTATGCAAATCATCATCATTTTCCTCTAGATCCGAGGGGAAAGATTTCTGAAGCACAGCAGTAATTGTCTCTTCTAAAGAGTTGGTTGTCTCTCCAGTAGAGAGACAAATACCAGTTATTTCAATTTTTTTTCATGAAATCTCTTTTAACTCCATACGTGTAAATCTTTTTCCATACATTGCGAACATCAATGGTCGAAAGAAATGTTTTCCAAGACTGAGATTTAGCATCGGCAAGCTTTAGATTGTAAACTTTTCTATATTCAAGATATTTACTTTTATAAAGTTCTCTAAGAGGCGGATTTTTTACAAACGCTGAAATCTACGCCTAGAGGCATTAAGCCTTTTTCTCATACAAAAAATTTCGGCAGACCACCAAGGAACATTGTGCTTACCATGATTCCTAACAGGTATGGAAATTTGAGATGCCTGGAGAAGAACAGAACTAAAATTCTCAACAAGAGTATTTAGGCGAGAACCGTCAGTACAGTCGTTAAGAATATCAATGAAACGGGTGATGCGAGAAGAACAAAATTTTCGAAAACGATCCCAATTTGCTTTCCCTGTATTGAAGATTTTAAAAGGAACATTTGAGGTGTCTCGTAAGAACATAGAGAGACAAAATTCAAATTCAATCATCATATGATCAGAAAGGGATTCTTTTTCAGACAGTCGCCAACTCGAACAAACGCCAACGAAATATCGTCCACCATATTTTTATTCGAATGCGTGGAAATAATAGGTGCCTCCGGAAACCAGAACTATACTATGCTGTCGCCGGAATCAAAACCTTTAAAAATGCGCTTGGTGGAGATCACTTGCTTTTCCCTTCCTGAAATGCTCCCGCTCCTCCTCTTGAAGCATGGCTAAATATTTCATAAGCATATGTATACTGTAACATTTCAAATTAACGCTCTTTCTGAATTTAACACAATATGAAATCACATCCGAGTTCTACAATAAATAGAGGACAAAATGTACCATTTGGCTTCTACTTGTTGCGACTTAAATGTTGAAAGAGCACTTCTATCCTACTGCAGGTGCTAATATATCTATATATACTCTTTACACAATAAAGGAAAAGCTTGCCATGTGTAGAGAATAAAAAGCAGGCTTACAACATTTCAGTTAACCCTTGGACATTTCAAAAGTATGCAGTTAAGGTCTCTATTGAATATGATAAATAAAAGGTGGAACCAATCAAGCTCTGAGAAGATAATATTATCAAATTTCTTTTCAACGTAAGGAAAGATATTCGTCAATGCAGAAGAATTCAGTTGACCACACATCTAGATTCACTCTGAAATATTTACAAACTATTTCCAAAATTCGATTTTATTTCTGAAAATAAAAATGGTTTTGATATTTTTATAAAATAATTATTAGACTCCTCCAAACCCATGATTTAAATGAAGGAACATACCAGCTTTTTTATACAGTTTTGCTTTAAAAAATTTTAAGCTAAATACTTCATTTAAGCTACATTAGTGATACAAATTTGAATCATTCTCAACACTTCATAGTAAATTAATGCATTAGAAAGATAATTCAGTTCCTTTTTAAGTTAAAATATTAATACCTATATTATATCATTTTCTGTGTAAGCAAACATATTTGTGTGACAAATGTATTACAATTATGCCAAACAAAAGGGAATGCCAGATATAAACTGATCATATCGTGCTAAAAAAAAAAGAAAAAGATGTTTCATATTTTATGCACAATAAAATTCAAAATTATAGTAAGAAACGAACAGTTCTAATCAGACAAGTACATTTGACCAGCATTTACTACAATACAGCATACTGATCACAAATTAAGAGATTGATAAAAACAATTTCATACCTTACATAAAACATTAATCATACAATATACCAGTAAAATGAAGACATTTTGAACAGAAATTATTAATAAGATAAGTAATAAATTAAGTCAAAGCAGATGACAAATATCTGCCTTTGAAAGCTTTCACATAGAACTTTCTGAAACGAAACAAGTTTACATTCCAGTGAAGAAAACTATAAAAAATTCACATAGACAGGCTGTTCAAGAATTTTACCTGCAAAATAAATTCTCATGTTCACAGGCTTCAGCTGCACAATCATTAATGGACAAGTGGGGGTTATTATCACAATATAAGACAACATGAAGTACTAAAAGACGATAGCAAATTAAATAACCATTAAATTTTACAAGGCGATTCTAAATTGCTTTTACAAATTAAGAGGGGTGATAGTACTCATCCAGATGAACAATAACGATAGAACATAGGGTCGCATTCCACTGAGAGGCAGAAAAGAGGAATATTAGAATTCCAACCTGAATTTACAACAGTGTGGAAGAGCGAATGAATGAGACCAAAAGTCGCGCAATTAGTTTAGTGAACAACTCACAGAGAATGCACAAAACGGATGAAACCGAAAACTTGACTTTCGAGTGATAATTCGAGCTCAGAATTTGATGGCAAACACTCAAATGCACATCTTTGGGTCACAAGGTCTCAACCTCGCAAACGATTGCAATATTGAAAAGTTCATGCTGTATTTTGGCTGTCAAAAATTCGTATGCCACAGAAGGTTGCTCCAAGTAGAATGAGTGCAGTACAGTAAGTCCAGGAAGACAGGATAGAAGATGGAAGGGGAAAAAACTGCTACCTTTATACTTTGATATCACTACTACCTACCTATACTCTGATATCATTTCAGTATTTTCCACTGTTTAGCTCTCATTAACAAAGCATGCCATCAGCAACTGATCTACAGGACCATGACTTCAGCCTCCAAGAAATTATGGGCAGATTGGATTGCAGATAGAGACATTGAGCTCTGAAACCAAAGGCTCTTATTGTTATCTATGATATTGTGTCTTTAGACAAAACCATGAGCTAGGAAATTAAAAATGAGGGTCTGCGGAAGTTACAAGAGAACCATAGAAATGAGTCCAACAAGAAAGTATTACAACTTCAAATACAGCAACAAAAGGAGATTGTGAAAAAAATGTCTTTAGAAAAAGAGAAAGATAAAAACGTTTTATGATCCGCGAAATTTGAGCAAAGCGGGACATGATGCAAAGTTTTCGCATAACGATATCACCCTAATAAAGTAGTAGCAAGCTACAGAATAAACAACTTCAGCGATAATGCATGTCTCACTTTAGAAACATCTTAAAATGTAGACAACCACAAGTCACATTGGATAAAGTCTGAGTAAAGCTTAGGCCCAATGAGTCTCAAGCAGAGTTCTGTGGTGGTTGCAGACAAGGAAAATTAAAGAAGATACCCCTCCCCAAACAGAGTGATTTGATGCTTTTATGAAACGAAATTTTGCATCCAATATATAACATCCTCCTCATCATTTTCCACTTATACTGTCTTCACACACTCTCTTTTTTTCAGGTACAGTAAAATTAAATTGTTATCTATTTTTATCTGTTTATTATTGTGTTTATCCTCCTCTTTTTTTTTTTTTTTTTTTTTAATGGGAAAATCTCCAAACGGATGGAACCAACGGAAATCCTTAAATATTCCTCAATCCGATAGAATCTCAGGTAAACCCAAACCGATGGAAATCGTTATATACATATCGTACAAAAATATGTAGTTTCATGGTAAGTTAAGTTGAAACTTACTATTTACTTGCCTTTTTGTATTATTTTTATAGATTGTATTTATTTTATATTATATATTTCATTTTTATGATGTTTAGATTAGTTTTTTTAGTTTGTTTTGGCATGCATAATTCATGTCGGAGAAGTACCTATATAGGTAAGGGTTTCTAAATTAGTACTTTGGGTTTGTACTCTTAATTACATTGTCTATGTACTTTTAATTAAGAATTTTTGTTTCCTATAGTGGATTTGCTTACTAAATTTCTCGAAATTATTTTACTATTAAACCTCTCATTTAAACATTTCACTACTTTTGATTTTTAGTAATTCATACCCATGCTTATAAGGATGACAAAACATGAATAGAGTAACTGAAGAGTTAGGTTTGGAAGCAACTTCCTCTTGAAAAAAAATCTGTCTCCTGCCTGCTCATTAATTATTCACTTAATACAAATTAATTTAGTTTTCAACATTTTTTTAAAGTTTTTAAGATAAAATTTTTGGCTTATTACATATTTTTTCATGTATTTAGATGCTTGCACTTAATTTACTTACGCTTTCTGAATCTGAAAGATATTGCCAATTAGTTTGCAGCAATAATAAAGCATTTTATTTGTTTACAATTGAATTTTCATAATTTAAAATTTTAATTAGCTTTATATGAATGAGATAATGATGTTGTATTTGTCAAATTCAAATTTCATTCCTTGCGACAATGGCACAGGAGAATTATTTAATTTGATTTACCTTTACTAATTAGTTTCTTATGAAACAATATATATATACATATATATGAAACAATATATATATATATATATAATGATTTCCATCGGTTTAGGGTTATGAAATTGAGCACCAAGTGCTGTTGTAAAGTTTAATTAAGTACATGTTCTGAGGTTTCACTGCATATGCAATTAATATGTTTTAAATGTTTCCAAAAAGTGATAACATAATTAAAAAAAACTCACATAGCCAAAAATCATATTTTTGATTGTTTCTGAAGGACTTTTCCCTCCACGTTCCTTCTAGAGGAGGAAGAAAAAAATAAAGAAAAAAATTACTACCAGATTTAATACCTTAAAATTGTGAAAGCATATAAAATGCAAGCTACTTACAGTGGCAAATAATTTATTGCTTCAGCTATTTAGTTTTTTAAATAGTATATACTATTTTAATAGTAATTATACTAATTTTTTAATATTACTTGTAATAACTACTTTTTTAATTTAGCAAGAAATTAGGAAACTCACTTTCGCAGAAATTTTATCATTATTAGCAACTAACAAGACATATTCATTAATATGCTGAGGTTGTGGGTTTAAAAACTTTTCAAGATATTCCATTCTTTAGTTTCATGTGAATTTTTAATAATGCTCCTGCTTACAAATGGGAACTCATGGATGGCATAGTTGTATGGTCATTTTTAAGTGACACTTGCTTCACTTAAAAGCTTGCATGAATACCAAAAGAGTTATCAGATGGTAGCTGTAAGTTTGTGAGTCTTGTAAATTAGCTTCCAGATATGATTACTGCAAGCTCACATGAACTACAGGATTTTGAATGTGAAATAATACCTACAGCTAGATGAATAGGACATTCATTTTTCAAGCTGGTTACACAGTCAGCTATTGTGGATTCATCACAGGTGTACACTGAGTGCCATCTGGGATAACCACTGACCTGACTTTGTTTAAAAGTCTTACAGTGTTAACAGTCCTCCTGGCAGAAGGGATTATTTCTTCCATATGTAAATATTACATAAGTATACAAGACCTGTGTACAGGCATAGATATGTTAATTACAAACATTGTCTTGGATACAGTTACATGAGATATGTAGATATATTTATGACAGTATATATATTTATGCATTTAAACATTATATGATTTCATATTTACAATACTGTTACTGAGATAATCACAATTAAACTTGTAATTAAGCTACACATTGACTGGAGTTTTTCTGTTACATTTAATTGCTTTACAATATTATTTTTAAGAAGTATATGCAAAATGGACAGCAATGAGCTTGCATTACAATAATTTGTGCTTTCACAGTCCAGTTACTATTTTATGGGGCAAGCAGTTTTTCTAATATTCAATAGTTGTAACACGATCTGGCTTAGTCTGGATAAGGAGTTATGTGACTCAATTTTCTGGTAGCCTAGCTGATTTCCTTGGAATAGTTGCAACTGCTATTATAGTACCTATGGAGGGAGTATCTGTGTTACTGTTCAATTACTTAGGTATTACTGTTGTTAGAGATAACTGCACTAATCTGCTGCTCCGTTTCTGCGAGTTGTCAATTCAATGTACTCCACTTTTGTAATGCCTCTCCCCACCACTTTAATTTGCTATTGAAATTATGTTGCAAAGATCCAATTTTCAAGGGCAAAACATTCTTAATACTTTGCTGAGCATAGTTGGATCATCTCCTCCATCTTACTTTTCCCCTGCTTGTTGCCGCAAATATTCTCTGCCAATTGCGGCCAGTATTCACTGTGAATACTGGCCGCAATTGGAACGCAATTTATTGGTGTATGGGCAGTTGAAGAGGTAGTGATCTTCATCACTTACCACGCCACATTCGCATCTCGGTTGCCGAATCTCTTAAAATAATGTGGGAAGGAACCATGGCCAGTGCAGAAATGAGTTTGTGCCTCGCTGTGTGTTTTAATTGAGCATGAAATTTACGGAAAAAGCTTGCAGGTTCTCCTCCCTGTGCTTTCACTTCCCCATCTTTTCTGACATTCTTGTAGAAGGCTATTGAGCATTATTTTTTTAAAAATAAGAGTGTGACTCACTTACTTGATTTTTTTATCCTACTGGGATCATTGGCTACAGATTTTGTAAGCAAGTACACTGCTTCCTTGCCAGTAATATTACACATGAGCTGGAACCCAGATCAAGTTGTGCCTGTCATTTGGTGGAATCCTTAGAGGAATTTTTTGTATGCCTTGCACTGAAAGAACTCCTAGTCTTATGCCCTCGGATGGCCTCTAAACTAGAGGAGTTGCTATATACACTCTTCTGCAAAAAAAAAAAAAAAAAAAAATCGAAGCACCAAGAAGGACTTTTGCGAACGTGACAAAATTGGGTATGCAAAAACATCTTGATAGAACATGCAAATGATCAAAGTTTCAAGGCAGATGAACAGGAATTGCGATCATAGCGCGAATTTCTAGTGCGCATTTCGCAAAGTATAAAACCAGTAACAGAGGAGGAAAATTTATCTCTTTTATTGCTGCGATTGTAATTCCGTAAAGAAGCAACTAAAGATGCCATTACGACGATATCGAAGACCTTACAGACAACTAAAAGACTTCGAACGTGATTGTATTGTAGGGTTGCATGAAGCTGGGTGGTCATACCGAGCAATAGGCCGCCACCTGCAGGTTACAGACACTGCTGCGCAAAGATGTTGGCAGCAATGATTGCTACAAGGAACTTGCCGACGAAATGAAGGCTCTGGAAGGCCAAGGAGAACAAATGACGTTTGTCTTTGACTCCACAGCATCGGCGGAGTCGTCTGGAATGGTGTCGAAACCGATCATCATGACTGCCATCAGACTGGCAACGTATAGTGCTCAGCGATGAATCCCGCTTCGCTCTTGAAGCAGATGACCACCGTGTCCGTGTCTGGAGAGGACGGGGCTAGCGTCCCAATCAGCCTTTGTTTTACAAAGGCATACAGCCATAACCGATGGTTTAGGGCGCTATTTCTTATGACAGCAAGTCATTTTTAGTCATCCTCCGTACATCTTTAACAGTTCAACGATATGTTGATACCAGCCTGCGGCCGGTTGCGTTACCCTTCATGGCACGTCATCCTGGGGACATTTTCCAACAAGATAATGCCAGGCCACATACCGCTGGCATATCTCTGGACTGTCTCCGTGCGGTCGATACTCTTCCTTGGCCAGCAAGGTCACCAGACCTTTCACCAATCGAGCATGTCTGGGATATGGTAGGCCGCCAAATTCGGGCACCAAAAAATATCGCAGATCTGGAGCGACAACTGACGAATGCCTTGCAGAATGTGTCGCAGGATGACATTAGGAACCTCTACCACTCCTTGCCTCGACGAATTCAAGCATGCATTGCCGCCAGAGGCGGTTCGACCAACTACTAATTTGAATACTCATTGAATGATTGAGAGCCGTAAACAGGTACTATGAACTTGATTTTTTAATCATTTTATTATCTGTGTATGAGCTATACATATATTCAATTTCATCAAAAACAACCACTTTCTTCATGGTACTTCGATTTTTTTTTTTTTTTTTTCAAAAGAGTGTATAATTCAATTTTCATTGCAAAAGAGTATACCCTTGTTGCTAATTGATGGCAGCTTTTAATGCTGGAAGTTCTGCCCGAAAGATGGTATTATTGCCTTCCTGCCATCTTTCTCAACTTTTAAACACTTCTCCTTCTTGGAGTACACAGTACGCGCAGCCTGTGCCCTTCTCTGACTTTGAGCCACCTGTATATATAAGCTAGTGCTTTCTTCCTTGGCAGGGCGTATTGCAAGGGCACTGAATAAAATAAGTCCGTTTCTGGCGGGTGTCCTAGCATGATTGGCTTGCGCTTTTCATAGATCACATGTGTACAGAAGGTACTTTATGAAAAATATTACGAATCATCAGGGATGTGAAGCGGCCGATTACGCATGCTTAAAGATTATGACCAATGCAGCCTTAGTAGAATTATTCATACTAACTGAAAAGTGATACTATATGAAATAATTACCCACTTTCAGTATACGAGGAATCACAAGAATATCTACGTATGAAGTCAGTAAGTGCAGCAAAATTTAGCATTAATGGGATAAGGCAGGAGAGGATACATCAAAATGCCTTGCTAACAGGGCAGCAGGCACAGTATCTCACACGGGCTCATGAACATATTAATTGTGACCATAAATGATTGACGTAGAGAACTGGAAAGAAAAGAAACCAGTTCTGGTGACTTACAGTACTACTTGCTATAAAGTGGTAGTAGAGTTCAGGTATGGTGAGCACACACTGACGCCATGGATTCAAATTGGCAACAAGCTATTTTGCAAATAGATACAGAAACACAACTCACAAAAATTTTGCAAATCGCACAGAAATAGCCAACATGATCATTTAGACAACTTAACATGTTGCAGAACAACTGGAAAACTGGAGAAAGGTGTCATAAAACTAAATGCTTTCCTTTCTTTCAGGTTAGAATAATGCGAATTTTGATAGTGACAGCTTTAAAGCAGGATTCTAAGGTAAAATGCTGTCAGATAAAGAAAATTGCAAGTAAAAACTCGTATGATAGAATTTGTTTCGGTTCCCATATTTTCATGCATACTTAAGCCAGTTTTGTAATAAGGTACAATTTTCAACTGCGATGTGTGGCAAGTTCATTGAAATAAAATCTTTTCAAACTTTACTGTCTTCTGTTTCACCTTGTAGACTCAGACTCAGTAATGATTCTGGACGTCAGCTATGCTGGCAAGAAGATAGCACATGATATCACACCACAAACATTATTGAAAGAGATTGCTATGGTGACCAAAGTTTTTTGTCTGGAAAGACATTAAGCTGAATGGATTTATGGAGTAGCAGATAATGATAGCCTGCACGATAATCGGAAATATTCGCGATAATCCTGCCTTATTTGTATTTGTTCTGAAATGCCACTAAACTCGAGTTTACTTTTATGGACGAAAACGCGGCACCCCATCATAATGAAATTGTTGATATGTTGCTGAAAAATGATACTGACGAATGGATTCATAATGCTGTGCCATCGCAAGCAGTGTCCTATATCTTTAGCACATGAAGTTTTAAGTGCGTAGAGAATTTTATGTACTTTACACAATGCATGCAGGCCCTTGTATGGCCATATAATGGCTTGATTACGGGATGTGCTTTAGATAGTTGAGGGATGGGAATGATACCCGATTAGTCTGTGCAAGCCTCCAGGACCTGCTCTCATCTGTCACCTGTAGAAAGGATTGCGGCTCGGAGGGTAATGGTTAGTGACATTGACTTCCGTACTAAAGGGTCTAGGTTCTAATCTCGAAGGGTAATGGTTAGTGACATTGACTTCCGTACTGAAAGGGTCTAGGTTCTAATCTCGGAGGAGGCATGGATGTTTGCAAGCACATAATGCGTGAGAGGCAAGAGGCACTCAAATACACGGGAAGCTGGACATCTCTCGGTAAGGGAGGGGGGAGTAAGAAACCCTCGGATCGCTCCCTGCTCCAGTTTCAACTCAGACGGAAGGACTGAAATTGGGGCTGAAGTTTAGCAATCAGCAAGGCCTGGCTATACCTACTATATGCACAGGCTATATGCACAGGTGCAGCATGTACCTGCCAGAATGGACTAGCCTGCTCTACTTCCTAATCTAAATCCTACTGAATACATCTACAACAGGCTGTACTGACATTTTGCCATATATCCATATTCACAGGCAGATGTTCAACAGTTGAATAATGCCCTGACATAAGAATGGACAATGGTAACATAAGAACTTATTAATAACCTCATCTAAAGTAAGTACATGCAGTTCAAAAACATGCAATGCATTTGAGGTGATCCATTCTTCCATTGAACACCACTTTTATCTTTAATAATCTCGTGATTCATTTGTATCTACTTCACAATCAATTCAATGTAACCCATTGCTGAATAAAGTACATTTCGTATCTATTATTGTTATTAAGCTGATGTCATCACTTCAGTATTATCTGAGGTACCTTATGTATAACTACAACATGAGCTGAAACAATAATAAAAAATTCTTTGCTTCCTAAGACGTGCATACTAACGCTAATAAATGTACATCCCATCGAAGAAAATGGCAGTCGTATGAACAGGCTTTTAGTTTTCACGCTTGTGTTGGATTGAATCAGATCACAGTGATATGCAGTAGGATTTCAGCATATTGAGAAGGGAAGAACCACCAGTGTTGGAGATTGCAATTAATCCCAAACCACAAATGATGGAGAGAAAGACATCTGGTTAGGATCTGTCTCGACGAAAGTGTCTGACCATGTACGTAACTAATGTATGTAACAAACATCAAATAACCTGTGAAAAACTGGAAGTTCTGTGCTACATGACGCATCAGCTATCACTCACTCTAGAACACATGCATCTGCACTTACTTTAGTGCAAAGAACTTCATGCATGCACTAGGAAAACACCGCATTGCCTACTTACTGGAATGATTGCTCTGTGCGGTAACACGGCGGATAAATTCCTGTCTGGAAGAGTGGCCATGCCACAGTGAAAGGTTCAGTGAAATAGTATATGCAACCTGACAGAGAAAAATGCAACACCATGAAGATCTGGTTACAAATGTAAATTTCAAGAAACATGCAGCAAAACGATTTATGTAAATGATCTGAGATGCAAGTTATTCATGTGATACATTAGCTAGATATAAGAGAAGGAAACAACAACTATGTCAAAAGCTGGTATTCGCTGTCATCATGGAAAACCCGTTTTTTGAGGTACTTTTTGTATCAATGTGAGATGACACAGGAATAAGTTTCAACAAATCGGACGTTTTCGTGTGAGATTCGCTTAGGACTATAAGCACTGGTGGGTCCTGCCGTCATATCATAGCTGAAACGCATCTACAAGTGTTCACTTCCAAAGGATTTAGAAAAGATGAACTGAAGAATGGAATGCAAACCATGCCAGAAGTATAGGTTGGTACACGCTTGGATTGACAAATCCGAAAGCATGTCATTGATCTTAAAAAGCATGATTGTTGACATTATTTAGAATGCTCAGACAGCTTTGGATGTTTCAACACCAGTAAGAAGAAATTCTAGAGGACTAGCTAAAAGCAGCTTGCAGTCATGCTGCACTTGACACTTAAGACGGCTCTCATTGACGCAAAGCCACTTATGCCAATAATTGCAGTCATAATGGGACAGAACCTCTTGAAAGATAGAATGGCATCAGGTAATGTATAGAGACAAGTCTTGATTCTTTTCACCAGTTATAGTCGCCGAGTACGAATCCGGAGGTGACAGGACCAATACTCCTGCAACTGCTGAGTGCCATACTGCCATACACCTCAGTTCGAGGTGCCATCTTCATGGCTAGTAGGTCAGCTCTGGTTTATATGAGATGCACAATGATGACACAACGATAGATGGGCGAACTGTTGCAACCGACTGCACTACCCAACTTCAGCAATGAAGAATGCTGCCTACCAGCAAGATAACGCCTACCTGTACACTGCAATTACCAGCAGACAAGCCATGCAAGGTAGCAAAATTCTTCCTTGGCGAACGATGGAGAACTAACTGTCTAAGATGCTGTCATATCATCATCCATCCCCGAAGACTCCATACTGATTTCATCTGCATCTCCCAGAACTGCTTCTTGTAATGTCACAAGACACTGCAATACAGCTGTCGAATATATAGTGTTAAGTAGGAAGATCTGGTCTTATTTCCTGCTTATCAGGATATATATATTTTTATCGCGGTATTACATTTCCTTTTTTAAATTTAAAATTGCTTTCTTTGTTCTGTTTGCCAATTTGTATCATATGCTACTCATTCTTTCATGGTATTGCACTTTCTCTGTACGGCAATGTAAATGCAGAGCAATAAAGCTCCTAAACTTGCTGTTAGGAATAGAAAGACACTAGCTTTCATAACCAAATGGGCCTCGCTCGTACTACCCAGAATTTAAGCAGCCAATACTGCATCACTGGAGCACCAGAGTCTATGGCTGTGCATAATATTCAGGGTATACTTGGAGCAGTTTATTAACACGGTAATGAATGACCACATAAGGCATGAAGTGTCTAATTTTTACCTAGAGAGTTTATATGAAATGCTTGTTGATCTGATTTGCTAACAACTGAAAACATATTGTTAGGATTACATGACTAATACATGTTAGACAAGCGCACTTACTATTAAAGACGAATTTATTGGGATACTATAACAAAATTGTATTAAATGTGCGTAGATTGGCATATCTGGCATGCATACCCACCCTCTCATTCTTTCCATGCCATTTATGTTGCGTAGGAAGGACGACTGAGTTCATTTTGCAATCCACAAATCTAAAAGAAATGTAAGTAATCCACAAGTAATTCACAAGTTTAAGAGTGTATACTTTGAAAATGGTTCATCCTTCTACTCGAAAGAAAAATTATATCTTTATTCAGCATGGCTTTCACATTTCTTTTCACTCGGATGCTACAAATTTAATAAATCATTGTATAAATGTTGAAAAATTCTGTACTACCTGGACAAAACATTCAAGAGGACTGAAACTTTTAGCAAGCTTCTGAGCTGGCATATCTTCTTCTTCCCGTTCCATATGAAAAGTTAACAATTTTTCAGCTCCTTCTATAAAATAAAATATGTACAGTAATAAGAAAGACTGGTATGTAAAAGAGGCTGAGAATTTTATCAAGGAAATATAATTTCTGAAATTTTTCACAGAAAATGGTCAATGACAAATGCATAAACACGGTAAAGGCAAAATCCAATTTTACCATGTTATGGAACTATCAATTTGCATCACACTTCATCACCACAATTAGCAGAAATAAAGGATTATTTTATTAGGCAATAATTTTACCACAAGAATCAGAACTTTAAATATGCAAATATTTTGATACGTATAATTTTTAATAATAAGTAAATAGCAGTTTACACAAATAAGTGATTTGCAATGGCAATGAATTTTTAAATGCTTTTACGCACAGAAAAATATTTTCAATCAAAACAGCCTACAATGATAAGATAATATTTAATTTACATTTTGCATAGTTTGAATACTAAAACTTTATAACTGACCAAAAAGAAATGTTACAATCTACAACTTTTCTTTATCTTATAATTGCAAACATTTCTTTAAAAATGAACTACTTCTCATATTCTTAGTGTTTATCATTAATAAGCTGAATGAGATTTTCAGATACGTAAAAATGAATTAAATAAGCTATTTCCTCGGCTCTGATGCTATATTAAAAGACACAAGAAAACCTTTTGGGAGTGTGAAAATGTCTTCTTCCGACATGTATACATGCAAGCATATGTATTAGAAGACAAATGCAATAACTGAACCGAATTAATTTTCCATTTAAGTCTTTTACCGACAAACAGCAAGAACTTGAGATACAAAGGCTTTTTAGAAAATTAAGTTGCCATTAACAAATTAAAATAAAACTAAAAAAAAAAAAAAAATCATCTGTTTTAATTTCTGAAAATTTGCAAGGGGAAAGTATATTAGAGGAGAAAATGAATCCAACACCAAGTGAATAATCACAAAAAAAGAAAAGAAAAAATGATAGATATTGATCAGTTCTTGTTAACTTCTCCAGACTGATAATAAATGCTCATCAATAACGCAACTTATTAAACTAACATTTAAACATTTTGATCCATGATTTCGTTAATATTTAAGATAAATTTGAATGATCAAGATTTATTGAATAAAATCGACGGATATTGTTAAATGTTATGACAGTAACTTTAAGCACCTTTAATTCTTCTAAGACAGAAAGCGAAACGATTGCATCGAGTCTACTGACAGAAAAAGCAGTGTATGGGTTAAAACACAAGAACTCCATCGGTAAGAGTGCCACAGAAACTGCATCGGTGTGATTAATCAGTCTCTTAGTTTTAATTTTCTGCATTCAAATTTAAGCGTTTCATTCAAGTACAGCAAATCCGACATTTGAATAGCAGAATCTGAGTCTCTGCGGATTTGATATTTAGAGGACTGTGTTTCATACTTAATTGACAGCCTAACTAACGAACACATGTTTTTAGTATATATTTCCAACAAATGCTGTGATTACGTCAGTGAACAATATTAATTTCGATTCCTATGCTATACCATAAGGATTAATTTTGATTTAATACTTCGTCCTCTGCGAAATCCTGGTGATCACTCAACCAATATAAGATGCAAAGCTTGAATAACAGTGTGTCAAATTCCAGTTCTGTGTATTTCGGACTGAACTTTTATTTAATCGAACAACGTACGCTCGAAAAAATGTGTGGAAAGTCATACGGGCATTAAAGAATAGGCTGAAAGTTCACCATGTTTCAAATGTATGGATTCTTGTAATAATTAAAAACAGAAGAAAAAAACAGCTGAAAGCGCGAAAGTATGTTCTTTACAGTAACAGCCCTAACTTGAACAATTATGAATAATAATGGTAATAGACCAAAATTAACAAAATTATTTCTATAAAAATTTTAGAAAACCTTTACATAGCATAAGATTTTTTATAATACCATTAAGGAAACACATTAAAAACTTATGGCCCAGGAAAACAATACAAATCATTGTACAGTACAAATCGATCCCTTCCGCAAAGTTTGTTATTGTTTACCCAAATTATCATGACAATTTTATCACGATTTTTGATTTTTTACAGTTTTCATTTTCACACACATATATACGGAAATTCTCTTAAACTACGCATACCATTTTCAGCAGCTTCATTCAGTCCGTCACACTTGAAAAGTTCATACTGGTTCAAGTTATCATTGTTCTTCAAAGATGAAGATAATTTTGTTCTTTCAAATCGTGAATCCCACTGCAAAATTTCACATAATACTAAATTTAATGAACTTATTTTTGCTTCCTATATTTTAAACAAAATATTACATTATGAATTAATTTTATAAAAAATTATAAATACCAATTATTTACTTTGTTTTGAAAAATTCCTTTCATAACTACAATTTATTTATTCTAAATGACGTATATACGTCAAATATTTCATAAATAATAAATCTGAAAAACATGAAGTGTTTCTCATGAAATGTTATCTGAAAACTTATGAACATGTTCGTCCCAATAACTAAATGTTCCACATTTTTATTTTTTTTAATAATGATTAAGTTATATTTGTTTTAAATCATTAGCACAATATATTCCAAAATGTGTCTAAAGCATCTCATACACACAATACACAGAAATATTCACACTAAAAGCAAATATTAACTATCATATTATCTAACGAATTAATGTCTCAAGCTAAATGTAACCTGCAACAAATAATACAAATCCTACATCAAAAGTCTAAGTTAATTTTGAAGTACACAATTATTTCGGCAAATAAATTTCCTCCACTGCGAAACTGATCAAATGCTCTGAATGCATTATCTTTGACATTACCATTTACGCAGAAGAGAAAAATCGAATTTACAACGTATATTCTAAGTCGCGATCTCGGAGTATGAAAAATACAAGTTGAGTTTCTTTGATCGGCCAGTTAGAACAAGAATATGTAGCACTGCCTCCTTTTTATGCAGCTTGCGTTTGTGTGGTGACCAGATAAAAACCCACACGATGAAAACCAATACAGCAGAAGAATCAAAGAAGAAATCTCACAGTTATGATTGTCATATGACAAATACCCACACACTCCTACATGGGTAGAAACCCACACAGATAAAATATATGACATACTATATATGTGACGAACGAGAATAAATTTTACCATTATTTTCAGTTTATGCAAATTACTAATTCAAAATTTTCTTACATTTCGTATATATGAAAATAAAAATAAATTTCCAAAATTAGAATTTTATTTCAGTTTCTGAAAACTTTACACCTACTCTCAATATATATATATATATATATATTGAAAGTATATATATATATATATATATATTGAAAGTATATATATATATTGAGAGTATATATGAGAGAATGTATATATATACATTCTTTGACAGAAAATAACGACGCATCAAAAAAGAGTTATCTGATTGCAACGACTTTTCACATGCGAATACTTTCGATCCAACATGCAAATGATAAATTTTGGCGGCCAATGAATTAATTGCTGAAACAGTCGTTATTTATGAACTTGCAGCTGACGAAGATCCTAGCTCCTTGCGCAGCGAGCTTATTAGCTTATTGATAAGCATTACTCAAACAATTCACGAGAAAGACCAATCTGGATTAATTAATCTCCCGACCTTGTCCGTCGGACTCAAGCACCAGTGGCCGAGCGGTAAAGTCGCTGAACACTGGTAGTTCGGTCCGAGGTTCAAATCCCGCGAACGGGCGGGATGCATTGGCGTTTTCGTGGTTTTCCCCATGTGTAACGTGTATACGAGCCAGTTTCCCTTAGAAAGTCCTCCACGAAGGCATCCCTTCCTTTATGTAGATAGCCCTCGAGGCTTTGCCATAATCACACACACACCCCCGTCGGACTCAAGAGCGATGTCAAAAGCAGGAAAATCTACCATGAAAAACTCCTTTTCATTAAAATGAGAAAATTTCGTCCAGGCAAAATATCAAAGATCTGCTTCAGATGTCAGAGATACGGGCATGGTCAGATAGGTTGTAACAATCTTCCACGCTGTTTTTACTGTGCTCGAGATCATTTTCTTGCACTTGTAAGCTCCCAGGAGATGAAAAACGTACATGCATTAAATGCAAGTCAGATAGATCACATAGTCATTTCGACTTTATCCCTTAAACAGAAGCCAGAAATCCGAGATTAACCCGAACTTACCTCTGATGTGTTCTCTTTCAATACTCACGTTTCTTCTACATTGATCAAAAAAGTAATTTCTGATATCTCCTAGGCCGAGCAAGCGGCGGAAGATCATGGTCCGAATTTTGTTCATCAACTTTTTCACGAATTCATAGTATTAATTAATTGTCATAGAATTTTGTTTAATTATTATTTATAATGTTAATGTATGATACACAAAAGGAAATTATTGATGTAAATGTGTTTTTGTTTAATGCCAAGTAGCTTTTGTAGAGTGAAGAGTTGTTCATATTTTGATTAATCGCGATTTATAATTATTTTAATTTGTAACTGTTTAAATTGTCACAATGTTCAAGTATTTGAATAGTGTTTAGTAACTATGCGTTATTATGATTCCTCATGTATTTGTACCTATATTTTCTGTTATACCTATATCTTTCTGTTAATAAAGTTATTTGTTGGCAGCTTCAGGAAGCCTGCCAGTCGATAAATAAAGTAATCTATTTAGAAAAATAACGGTGGCTCTTCTTCAGCAGCTAAATAACGGTTGTGAATAAACCCTGCATATGCCAATTTAAGGAGAGGTGCAATGATAAATAAGTCTTACCAAGTGACGTTGCAAACAGTTGTGGAAGTCACTCTTCGATTTCCGCTTAGCTACTACAGCAATATACAGAACTCGAAAAGAAGTGGTAAGACTTGCTCAGCCGAGCACAGCTCTCCAAATTTGACTTGTTTGGAACTGTTTCCACATTCGCAAAACTATCGAATGATCAATGCCAAAGAAAACATAGACATCTTTGACTGACTGTCCTGCTTCAATGCATCCAACATCAAGCCAGCGCTCTCTATCTACCGTTCGTCTTTTTCCAACCATAGAAAAATGAATACCATCAAAAATTATCCTACGAAAATTATGAACGCTTTGCATTAGCATTTAAATGAAACTCCTCGAACTCTTCAGAATGCTGGCGTTTTCATAGATTGCCTGATTAACGTATGCTCGGACAGTCATCTTGGCTGGCTGCAATATATTGCATACTATCATCTGCATTCACAGCGATTTTCAGCCACTCAAATTCAACTACGCGCTTAGCTTTCGGAGGCCAGTGCTTAATTCTCTGAGTGGCCGTTCACTGTTGTTGCTTAGCGGTTATCAACTATTCAGCGTTATAAATCACGGGTTGTCAAAGTAATCTGCACCTCGAGAAGGACACTCGATCAGACGAGTCATTAGAGATTGGTAAAAAATAAATTAGGAAATTTTAGAAAATTTAATATCTGACAAAAGATTATATAAACTAAAATTTTGTCTGTAATTATAATAAAAAAAAAACCATTTCTTATTTCCCGTTAGAACATTCCTTGAATTAGTTTGAATTTCAAAACTTTACATATTTTCAAGGGAAAAAGTAAGATAAATAAATAAATTGTTTAAAATTAGTGAAGATTATTTAGAAATATTTTTTTTTTAACTATTTGAAATAATAGCGGTACTTCACGATTTCGGCAGCATATTTGAAGACTTTCAAAATACACAAAATTGGATTGTGTCTCCTTTTAACTCCTATGCAAATAGAGAAAACATACAATTTTTTTTTTGATGAACTAATTAGATATGTCTATTAAACTGAAACAAAGAGATTAATCAAGGATAAGACTAACTGTTTTGTATGGAAATAAATTAATAAAATTTTAAAAAATGAAAAATCTTCAAGTTTGCCCAGCAGTACAATCTTTCATTTTAGTATTTGTACGGCTAAAGCTGGATTTAGACCCTAAAACACTTTAAATGGCTAAAGCTGGATTTAGATTTTCTATTTGTACGGCTAAAGCTGGATTTAGACCCTAAACACTAACTGAACTTGGAAGACAAATGATTTACAATTTAAAATCATAACCCAGTATAAATAGTCTAGTAAAGGGGGAAGAAGGAATCTTTCACATTAAAAATAAATTTTACTTAAACGCAAAAATGTTGCTTGATTAATTGCAACTGTTTTCTAAAGTACAATTTATTTCACTATTGTAGTTAACTACTATTATTCAAAATTCTTTTATAAAATAAATTTAAAAGTGTATTCAGTATCCAAATGTCACTGGAGATAGGGTCTCCGGAATTTTCAGCAGCAGTCGTTTGCAGAAAAATTTAAAGCCGTTATACTGCAGAATCTTATTTTTAAACATTAATAATCTATTCTAATGAATATTTAATTATTTTACAATACATTTACATATTTCAACACATTTCTCATCTACTTATTTCATTTTTATATCTCATTGTATAACATAATTTGCAAAATGTAAATATATATATAATGTATATACACATCTCGTTTGCATAATACTTCCTATATTATTTTATACTTTTGAAAAACATTATATATTATTTTTGTTTGCTCTCAACACAAAAAAGAATTTTAAAGCAAACAGTATCAGAAACACATAATGCATATTCATAAACATAACTTACAGCAGCCTATTATTTTTAGATATAATTCTTCATATTCATAAACATACTATTACAACCATCACTAATTATATATTATAATTATACTATAAGCAAATAAATATAAACAAAAGTAACATACACATAAAATATACTGATAATTTAGATAATCAGTAAATAAATATAATTTAAAACTTACTTAAATATATTAGATAACATCCAAGTATTCACATTTATTTAAATTATTTATAATCCTTATGATTATTCCCATGTTTTTTTTTTTTTTTTTTTAGTGTGTGTGTGTGTGTGTGTGTGTATAAATACATCTCATTTTCTTTTGAAATATTAAAAAAATATTTTGTCCTAATACGATCTGTACAAATACATTCCCATAAATAACGTTTAAAATTTGCATTTTGTTCGTCAGATCCGCAGTTAAAAATTATGTTTTTCTCATGAAATCTATATAAATAATCTGGCCATTGCCCATGACCAGTTAATGCCTGGTTTACCGCAGAATAAATTTTCCAGAAAATTCCTTCCTTCGGAAAAACATAATGAACATTTCTCTTGATGGTGATGATAAACCTATCATTTTCCCATCTTTCTTTCCAATTATGCATACTTTCTCTTTGTAATAGTGTTTTTATTTAATCTATAGATATGGTGGAACGATAGAATCTGTCGTAGTTGCAGTTTTCGCGGCATTGTCTGCAGCCTTATTTCCTAAATGTATGACCTTTAACACAATTAATGCTCAGATATTTCCTTGAAGCAAGTACTTCAGCACACTTTGAGGAAAAAAGTCTGTATAAACTTAAGCTGGACATCCCGCCGAACCTTTTTCACTCATCCAGGTACCAGCCCATATTAATGCTTCTCTGAAAGCTAATAATCTAGCTTCAAAGATTGTATTATTTAATTTGAAGTATTTTTCTTCGCATTTAACGTCATTAAAATCTGAAACAAAACCAGCTTCCGCTCTATTATCAATCACCGAGTCATTAGTAAAGATTTCTAATCCACGTTCCTGTGGATTATCTTTGTACCATTTAGTTATTTCTCGCTTCGCTGAATAACAGTAATACTTATTGTCCTTAACATCAACTTCTGTATTAGTAAATCTTAAATTTCTGTATATTATATCTTTTATCAAAAAACTTCTGTGGCCGATATAATAGTATAGTACTAGAATTTTGATACCAAAACAATGATGGCTTATCTTTGTTTCACTCAAGTTTATTGTAAAAAATTATGTTATAAAATTTTACTTTTTAAATTTTCAAATTTTTGAAAATAAATTAATTTGAAAGTTATGCTTTACACATATACAGCACAGTTCCCTAGGGAGGGAGCAGCAAAAACTCTACAAAAACTCACATGACAAAATTCAGTCTACTTTCAAGATTTAAAAATCATTCTGCAAAACCCAATTTTTGCAATGAAACTGAGTTAAAAATGATAAGCTGTTACTGCCATGATACCGAAATACTAAAAACATCGCTGCCACGAGATATAAGGCTTAGAAATGGAATTTAGCTTTATTACTGTTGATTCCGGCAACTGAGAACCTAAGTTCCCCTCATAATTAATTACACACGCTGTCTATAAGTTACATATATTTACTAGCTATTTCTTTAATTTTTTCATGTATTACTTCATACAGCAATATGATCTCGAAAAATGTGAAAAAAGCTTACACTGCTTTCACCAAAGTCAAACCCTCTGTGAGCAGATGTCCAGTAATCTTCATCTGATTCACCTTTTCTTCTATCCATTTTTCAATCTGCTTTCTTTCAGCTAAAGGAAAAAATGATCAAAACAACAGTTAACTAATACACACAAAAAGCAGTTTTCTGACAAATTAATTTAATAATTTTTGTTTTAGACTCTAAAATTCTGTAAGGAAAAAAAAATATCGCACGCTACATTTTTTAAATTCATAATACTGATTGACAAAACGAAGTTTCAGAAAAAAAATTTTCATAATAAAGAAGCTGTGTATATCATATTAGAGTTATACAATTAATATTTCAAAATGTTTAAAAACTAAGCAAACTAAACTACTTTAAACTGAAGGTAATTCTTTACACAAATATGTATAGAACAGCACGAGCTAACTCCAACTTGCATAATACTATATAACTAGTACTATGAGATCAGTTACTAAAACCAAGAAAATGTGGTAGTACTGCCGCCCAAACGGGAAAATGCTTAGTGACTCTGACTACCGTACCGAAGGCATGGTTCCTTGTAAATGTATACTGGCTTTGCGGCATGTGGGCACTCTAAATATATGGGGAACCGAAAGTCCTCTTGTGTGGATTAATAGTAGGGAAAGAGGGTTGGAAGACCCTCTCTAGACACCCTCGGGGTGCTCTTCCTCAAAGCTGGGGGGCTGTGTAAAATCCTACTATCACCTATATGGTGCCCAAGGCTCTTGCCAACCTCAGGTGTAATCTTTTAATCCTTGCTACGATGAATTTCGCGGACTTGTTCTGATAAGGTCCGACAACTGACATTAGTCACAACAATAGTATTAGTGCTAACGTTTTAAAAAGCAGGAAGCTATATTGTAGAGACATTACGATATATTTTTGGAAGTAGGCAAGATGAAAAATGAGCAAACACCTTCGCCGGGAATCGAACCACGGACCTCTGGAATACCGGCCCAGCGTGCAGAACCGCTACACCGCGAAGGCATGCTAGGAAAGCAGGAGAAATACCTTATAATATTATAAGGACAATTCGGAAAATAGACTCCGTTGTAGCGTGGGATGCACAACCATTGTTACATCAAGCAATCTGTGATTCAGTAAGCTTTCTGCTGTCCTAGTGAGAGCGTCGCATTGCTACGCCTGTTCTGGTTATAACGTCACAAAATGTGCGCTGTTATTGGAAATCCTGCGAGGCAAGAGGAGTAATACGATTTCTTTGGACAAAAAAGCAAACAGCGGCAGACATTCATAGCGACTGTGTGTTGTATACGCAGTATACGGTCCACACATTATGAATGAAGGTATAATGAGTCAGTGAGTAAGATTTTTCAAAGAAGGAAGAACAAACATTTATAATGAATGAAGAAGTGAGAGGTCTTCTGTAGTGAGTATCTCGTCAAACAAATTGACGACAAAATCCGTCAGATCGGTCGATTCTTAAACTCGGGAACTTTCGCAATAATTTCCGAACATTTCTCGAATCGCTTTGTACGAGTTAGTCATCTGAAAATTAGGCTACCAGAAGTTCTGTGGTTCATGGGTACCGAAAATTCTTACGCAGATCCACAAAACCAATCGAATGGACGCTACCTTAAACATTTTTAGATGAAAAGCTGAAAATAATTGTTATGTATAAAGACGGGAAAATTACTCGTATATTAACAACAGCGGGGGACATAGATCGACGAACTTCGACACCAAATACGATAGTGAAGGATAAAGTTTGCAGTGTTGATAGCATTGAAAGCATGGATTGAGATCTAGCACAGAAGCGGATACCATTAATTTCTTGATTATTCAGGATAAGGACAAATCTTTATATAAAGATTTAAAAACAAAGGCCGGTATCACTTATAGGAGAATGCATTTAAAATTAGAGCTGAATGGTTCGAACAATTCTGGCGTACAAATTTACACAGAACCTTCTTATGGGTGAAGCAACAAGGGCAGATAAGAAGCGGCAAGGAAATTTCCCTAACTACTGGCAGAAATACACTCATGTCCATAAATTAAGGATAATTCAGAGTCACGTGGAAATCGAACTCTAAAATAAATATATCACCTGTAAAATCACTACACACATCTTCAAGAATCATATGCAAATTTCAGGAAGTAACCAGATGACACCGATGGTACGTCACAATGACGAGAGTGTAAGAGAGTGATATATGAGAAATACAGGCAAAGAAGTAAAATTGTTCGCTGGCGCTTTATAAGCATTTCAGTGTAATAACCGAATCGCTATAACACAAAGGACGCATTTGGATGATTTTTTACGTGGTAGAATTATCGGCCGTCTGGAATGTGGGCGTACCTAACTGGAAGTATCAGACGAACTTGGAATTGCCCAGAGTGTCATCTCCAGGCTTTGGCAACGATTCCAAGATGACGGTAATGTGAGTAGACGTTACAGCACAGGTCGCCCCAGAGTTACAACGCCCGAATGAGGACCGGTATTTGGCAGTTACTGCCAAAAGAAACAGGCGGAGCACAGCCTGAGACCTGTCTCGTCAGCTCTCTTCAGCCACTGGTACGACAATTTCAAGGCAAACCGTGTACAGACGCTTAGGGCAGATTGGTCTATATGCTTGTAGACCTGTCAGATGCGTTCCACTTACTGCAACTCACTGTCGCCTGCGGTTAGCCTGGAGTAGAAAGCATGCATTGTGGACACCGCAACAGTGGGCTTGTGTAATGTTTTCCGACGAGTCCAGGTTTAGCTTGCAGTCTGATTCTCGCCGGACTTTCATATGGAGAGCTCCAGTATCCGTTACCACCAAGAAAACATCATTAAACGACACCGTTATGGTGGTGCAGGAGTGCTCGTTTGGGGTGGAATTATTCTGTGTTCCAGAACTGACCTGCATGTTCCAATTGGAACCATGACAAGTTAAATCTATCGGGACGTCATTCTGGAACAACATGTACGTTTGTTTCTGGGCGCCATGGGCGCACAATTTGTGTTTATGGATGACAACGCCCGTCCTCACTGTGCAAAAATCGTAAGCGAATGCCTTCAATCGGAGGATATAACAGTATGGACTGGCCAGCATTCTCACCGGATTTGAATCCAGTAGAGCACGTGTGGGACATGCTTGGCCGACGAGTTGCAGCCCGTCAACCTCCTCCTACATGTCTACCGGAACTTCGGAGAGCATTGTTTTTGAGTGGTGTAATATCCCCCAAGATCAGATCGATAATTTGGTACTCAGCATGCCTAGGCGTTGTACGGACTGTATTGCATCGTCTGGGAGACATACAATGTATTAACAATCATACCAACCATGTAATATTGTTTTTTTGTAAATAGTTTTTTTGGTAATTTGCTCCAGGGAGAAAAAATCGCTAATTTGTTTAATAATATCAAACATATAGCATCTTTTTTTGCTCTTTACCTTTTGTTTAATAAATAAGCTTTACAAATAAGGCAAATTTGTTTTGCTTCTAACTTTTCCTTTGCCTGATTTTGCATTATCCTTAATTTATGGACATGAGTGTAAATGAAGAGGGGGGATATTGGCCTGAACATTTATCTAATACTGACGAAACGGCTGTATTTTCGAAAAGGATATCAACATGTCCTTGTATCGCAAAAGAACAAACATCTATGCCTAGGTTGCAAATGATGGGATCACTGTTAAACAGTTAACTACTAGCTACCACTGTTAAACTACTAGCTACCCTTAACTGCGCATCGAAAGAAACAGTTTCAAGAAACTTTCGCTTCCAGTATATCTGATTTATTGAGTATAGAGCCCTTCCCAGAAGTCTTCCTTTCCTATGAGGGATAGAGTTGCGAGCGAAACATTTCCCACAGCCTTGTAAAATGCCGTACGCGCAACTCACTGCTGAGCAGGACTACTGCGGGTAGAAACCTCCCGTTCAAACCAGTGTTGACAAACACGTGTTTCTCGCAAAAGTTTCTAACAGTGTCATTATATGTGCTAGGCCATTATGATCGGCAGCAACACTTTTAAAACTTAAACCGATAAGCCGAAAACAACGTTTCTCTTCACAACGATCTACGTACAGCGCTGACGCTTATTCTACAGAGCCAAATTAGCTGTTACGAAATATTTTTCTTATTTGTAAAATGATATTTTGTTTTCATATTCTTTTACACATTTTTCACGCTTTTATAGTTTATGTACGAGTAAATATTGCTGCCTAATGTTTCATTTATAGAATAGTATAAGTACACACACCATACATATAAGCAGTGGAACCTCGGATCAAGAATGTTCCACTTCCCGAACAAATCATCTGAACAAAAAACGCCTCGAATGATGACCGGTGTCTCGAGTAACGAACACTCAAGTAGGCAACATATGATTTGTAAACGTGTTTCGAAGTAACCTGTGCTACATAATTAACACTTAAAAAGACTTCCTGAAACATCATTTTAATATTTTTTATTGCTTAACTCTCATTAAAAATGACCTGGCAGCAAGCGACTTAGAGGACATGTTAATTCGGCTTGGAGGAAATCATGGCCAAACTGGGTTGCTGGCAAAACCTTGAGCGATTTGACATTTAAGATTTTTTTTATCTATAATATTGGAAAAAAAAGCAAAGAAAGAAAGGATTACTAATTTAAAGAGCAACAAAAGGAGACTGCTGATAAAATGTCTTAAAAAGAAGACGAAGAACGAAAAATGATACTAGTTCTCGGACCCGCGAAATTTGTGCAAAAGAAATAAGATGCAAAGTTAAAGATTTATAAGCCTGCTAACAACAGCGATCTAGAGCATGAGTATTTTCAATGACAATGACATGACTCATTTAAAAAAATTTAAAATTCTGGCATGAACAAATCACATTAGAATAGTTTTGGGTGAAATAGAGATTCACTGAGTGTCAACCAGAGTCAAATGGCACTAAGAGACAAAGAAAAGTAAATGAAGCTGTCTTCTGATGTTTTTTAGAAAGAAATTTCGCATCCAAGCAATATGATCTTCGTAATTTTCCATTTATTCCCTCCACTCTTCTCCGTACAGGTACAGTAAAAATTAAATAAGATGTCGACTATTTTATCTGCTTAAAATTATGCTTATATTTTAATGATTTTTCGTTTTTGATTAT